ATACCTCCTGACGTCCCCCATCTTAATCTAGACCGACTGTGTACCCTATCTGTGCCATACAGCAACACTCCTTAACAGTATCTTGAAGAAGCAGACTAAACCCGCCGTCGAGAGTTGTGCGTGAAGACGGGCCTTGCAGCCATGGAATTATTGTTTCCGGAACAAGCACCCGCTTACCTTGTACTGTATGATGAGGGAATACGTGCATGGTCGTATAGATTGGCCTGAGTGTAGACGCTTGCAAGACGCGATATTTCCAGCGAACACTGAAACAGGTCGAGCATATCACGAAAGGATATCTTGGGGAATCCCGCACGGGTCTGCGTGGATTCCAGAAGGAACACGTAGAACTATGTTCATGGCCTCTAACGCAAGGCGCGTGGCTGGAGCAGCTCCCATCGTTGCTCTGGAAATTGGTTGTACCGAGTATCCTGTCCGGCCCAGCCGGTGTTTCACCCCATTGCTGTTTCTCGTGCTTCTTGTGTGCCCCGCTCCTTCTCAACCGTCTCGTGAGTGCAGCAATCAAGGTTCTGAGGCGACAAGATCTGCCTACGAGAGCTACGAGAGCGGGGTAGTGGCCGCTGGGACAGATGGGGGAAGAGGGTCCGCGACCAGTGTCGCGAACGAAATCCATGATACTCTACCCAATGTGAGGAAGCCATCTCAACCTCTCTGTCGCAATTCATCTTGTGAGGTCGTCCGTTATGAACATGAGTCCGTGCGTGGACTCACCCCCGTTGATACTGTGCGACGGCCTATATTTCAAGAGCAAACGCTAAGCCTTCCCACTGACCGTACCAATCAGCAAGTTCTTGGACCTATTTTTCAGGCGAGAGACATCCGCGCTTGCGTCCGCGGCTGTATCCGATTGGCTTTCGCTGCTAGGTGTGCAACCTCTTATGCGTTGGTCCTGTTTTTTCGTCTAGCGAGCTACATGGTTGGGTTGATTGAAGAGACTGCTGACTCCGCACACACCGCGTGAACGTTGTTCGTGCGAGAAGGCACTCGATTACTCTAAGATTGGACGCACCACCGTGCACAAGGCGAACCTTACTATCCTTCGAGAACGTCTCCTCGCATGGGGACCCCTACCCACAATAAGCAAATACCCCCGGGGAGGCACAGAAGGGTCAAGATAGAACGGCGTGCGTGCAATAGACCCGATATTCGTGGGCCAGCGCTGTGGTCCATGTACAGGTGCCTCGCATCCGAAAAATGAGACTACGCCACCGAGGACGTTTTGCCCCGGAACCCTATGTCATTGTTTGAAATGATCGCCCCTCAAACAGTACCTTCCAGAACGGTCCGAAGTGACCGGCTTGCCAAAAACAAATCCCGCTCCCCGAGGCGTTCTCAATTGATACTATACTGTGTATGTCACGCATGTGTACGACTCCTCCGCCAACCCAACGCCCGAATCCCTCTCACCACGGCCGCTCTGTGGTGAATTCACCTGCTGCAGGGAAACACCGTGGCATGCAGGCTTGCGTTCGACAGCAAAGACATCATGTCGTACCTCGCCGAGTCCGTGGATCACAACCAGTACCTGTTCATCGCCCCGGTGTCGACGGCCTCCAGGCGCGCGTGGGGGTCACGAGCTACGATAACCCAGCCGGTGGTGGCCGACACGACCATCATGCAGCTCAGGCACTGCTTGAAGCTCAGCATCCGGCACACAAGCATCTGGAACGCGGCTGCCCACTTCGGCAAAAGCTGTACCTCCTTAAGCTTGCGAACAAAAGCGCTTGTGGGTGGAGCCCAGCGGCTTGAGCTCAGGCCGCCAGGGGGGGACACATTGAGATCCTCAAATGGCTTAAAGCGCAGGGCTGTGGATGGGACGAATTTCGTACTGGGGAGGCGCCGTCGGATGTCATTCCCGGGTGCTAGAATGGGCGCCGTCACCCACGGAGAACTGGCCGACGGGGATGCGGGACCCGAACGCGTGCCCATGGGGACGAGCGGGCGTGCGCCCGTGCTTTCCTAGGCGGGTGTGACGACATTCTGGAGTGTCCTGGGAGACACGGCTGCCCTTGGGATGAGACGACGTCGACAATCGGCCGCACGTTGCGGAGACTTCGACGGCCACTTGTCGGCTTTTCCGAAGGAATGCCCTTTCGACACCGAATCCTGGTTCGGGGCCGCTCGCGAAGGGGATATGCGCATCATTAAGAGGTTCCAGGATCAAGGCTGCCTTTGAGATCACATTGATGACGGGGGTCCATCGCCGAGGTTGAACGAGACGGCCAACCTTGAAGTCCTACAGTGGATGAGGACGAATGGATGTCCATGGAACGAGCGGACCTGTTCGGAGGCAGCGAAAGGCGGGCATCTGGAACGTTTGCAGTGGGCAGGAGAGAATGGATGCGCGTGGGACAGCGACCCTTGGGCGGGGGCTGCCGGGGGAGAGCACCTCCAGATTTCGCGATGGACACGAGCGAACGGCTGTCCTTGGGATCAACAGGCTTGCTCGATTCCGGCCGAAGGAGGGAACCCGGACATTCTACAATGGCTGCGTGGGAACGGCTGTCCTTTTGATACGCAGCCATTGCAGAATGTCTAGGTTCCCTAGTTCGGCGGTGATCGAGCAAGCCTGTTCATACTAAGGACAGCCGTTCGGTCGTGTCCATCACGACATCTCGAGGTGCTGTCCCCAGGCAGCCCCCGCGCAAGCGTCGCTGTCCCACGCGCCCCCATTCTCTCTTGCCCACTCCAAGAGTCCCAGATGCCCTCCTTTCGCTGCCTCCGAAAAGGTACGCTCGTCTCATGGACACCCGTTTGTCCTCAACCACTGTAGCGTTTCACGGTGGACGCCAAGTGCAGCCCCGGCGCATGGACCCACATCACCAATCCGATCCGAAAGGCAGCCTTGATCCCGGAGCCACATCATCATGCGCATATCCACTCCTCGAGCGGCCCCGAACCAGGATTCGGTGCCGAAGTCCTCCAGGCGCGAATGGAGACCACGAGCTACGATATCCTGGTCGGTGGTGGCCGGCACGTCAATCATGCAGCTCAGGTTTTGCTTGAAGCTTGACCTGCCCTTGCGCATCCGGCAAACAAGCATCTGCAACGTGGCTGCCCGCTTCGGTTGAAACCTGAACCTGCTTGAGCTTGCGCACAAGAGCGGTTTGTCGGTGGAGCCCAGCGCCTTGAGCTCAGGGCGGCCGGGGGGGACACGTGGAGATCCTCAAATGGCTTCGCGCGCAGAGCTGTGGCTGAGGTGAATTTCGTACTGGTGCGCCGCGGTCGGATGTCATTCGCGGGTGCTGGAATGGGCGCTGTCACCCACCGAGAACTGGCCGACGGGGATGCGGGACCTGGACGCGTGCCCTTGGGACGAGGGGCGTGCGCCGGTTCTGCCGTAGGCGGGTGTGACGACATTCTGGAGTGACTTCGGAGACGCGGCTGCCCTTAGGATGAAACGACAGGCGTGATCGCCCGCACATCGCAAAGACTTCGACGGGCTCTTGTGGGCGTTTTCGAAAGGATGCGCTTTCGACACCGAATCCTGGTTCGGGGCCACTCGCAGAGGGGATATGCGCATGATTTTGTGGCTCCGGGACCAAGGTTGCCCTTGAGGCCTGGGTTCCATGCGCCGGGACTGCACGTGGCGGCCACCTTGAAGCCCTACAGTGCGTGAGGGCACATGGACGTCCATGGGACGAGCGAACCTGATGAGAGGCAGCAAAAGGCGAGCATCTGGAACGTTTGCAGAGGGCAACGAATGAGTGCGCGTGGGACAGCGACACTTCCGCGGGTGCTGCCTGGGGACAGCACCTCGAGATTCGCGATGGACACGAGCGAACGGCTGCGCTTGCAATGGACGGGCTTACTCGATTCGGGCTGATCGAGGAAATCTGGATATTCTACAATTGCTGCGTATCCGAAGGACAGCCGTTCCCACGCAGCCATTGCAGAATGTCCAGGTTCCCTCGTTCGGCGGTGGTCGAGCAAGCCCGTCTGTCCAAAGCACTGATGTTTGCTCGTGCCCAGCACCAAATCTCAAGGGGCTCTCCCCAGGCAGCCACCACGCAAGTGTCGCTATCCCAGGCGCATCCATTCTCTCTCGCCCTCTGCAAACGTTCGAGATGCTCGCCTTTCGCTGCCTCTCAAAAGGTTCGCTCGTCTCATGGACGTCCATGTGTCCTCATGCACTACAGGGCTTCAAGGTGGCCGCCACGTGCAGCCCCTGCGCATGGACACCCGACATCGATTCGATCCCAAAGGCAGCCTTGATCCCGGAGCCACTTAATCATGCGCATTTAACCAGGATTCGGTGTCGAAGGCCTCCAAGCGCGCGTGGGGGCCACGAGCTACGATAGCCCGGCCGGTAGTGGCCGGCACGTCAATCATGCAGCTCAGGTTCTGCTTGAAGCTCGGCCTACCCTCGAGCATCCGGCATACAAGTATCTGCACCGCGGCTGCCCGCTTTGGCAAGAACTTGAACCTGCTTGTGCTTGCGCACAAGAGCGCTGGTGGGTGGAGCCCAGCGCCTTGAGCTCAGGGCGGCCGGGGGGAACACCTGGAGATCCTCAGGTGGCTTCGCGCGCAGAGCTGTGGCTGAGGTGAATTTCGGACTGGTGCGGCGCCGTCAGATGTCATTCGCGGGTGCTGGAATGGACGCTGTCACCCACCGAGACCTGGCCGACGGGGATGCGGGACCCGAACGCGTGCCCTCGGGAAAAGCAGGCGTGCCCCGGTTCTGCCGTAGGCGGGTGTGACGACATTCCGGAGTGGCTTCGGAGACACGGCTGCCCTTGGGGATGAAACGACACGCGTGATTGGCCGCACGTCGCGGAGACGGCCTCTTGTCGGTGATTCCGAAAGGATGCGCTTTCGAAACCGAATTCTAGTTCGGATCCGCTCGCAGAGGGGATATGGACATGATTTTGTGGCTCCGGAATCATGGCTGCCCTTGGGATGATTTCATGACGGGAGTCCGTGCGCCGGGCCTGCACGTGGCGGCCATTGTGAAGTCCTACAGTGGATGAGAACAAACGGATGTCCATGGGACGAGCGGACCTGTTCCAAGGCAGCAAAAGGCGGACATCCGGACCTTGTACAGTGGGCACGAGAGAATGGGTGCGCGTGGGTAAGCGACACTTCCGCGGGGGCTGCCTGGGGACAGCACCTCGAACTTTTGCGATGGACGCGAGTGAACGGCAGTCCTCGGAATAGACGGGCTTGCTCGATTCCGGCTGATCGAGGGAACCTGGAGATTTTGTAATGGCTGCGTATCCGAAGGACAGCCGTTCCCACGCAGCCATCGTAGAATGTCCAGGCTCCCTCGTTCGGCCGTAATCGAGCAAGCCCGTCCGTCCCAAGCACAGATGTTTGCTCGTGCCCAGCGCCAACTCTCAAGGTATTCTCCCCAGGTAGCCCCCGCGCATGTGTCGCTGTCTCACGTGCACCCATTCTCTCTTGCCCTCTACGAATGTTCCAGATGCCTTTCGTTGTCTCCGAAAAGGTACGCTCGTCCCATTGATATCCATGTGTCCTCATCCACTGTAGGGCTTCAAGGTGGCCGCCACGTGCAGCCCCGGCGCGTCGACCCCCGTCATCGAATCGATTCCAAAGACAGCCTTGATCCCGGAGCCACTTAATCATGTCATATCCCCTCTGCGAGCGGCCCCGAACCAGGATGCGGTGTCGAAGGCCTCCAGGCGCGCATGGGGGCCACGAGCTCGCTAGCTCGGCCGGTGGTGGCCGACACGTCCATCATTCAGCGCAGGTACTGCTTGAAGCTCGGCCTGCCCTTGGGCATCCGACATACAAGCATCTGCAACGCGACTGCCCGGATGTTGCACACAAGGGCGCTGGTGGGTGGAGCCCATCGCCTTGTGGTCAGGCCGGCAGGGGGGACACCTTGAGATCCTCAAATGGCTTCGAGCGCAGAGCTGTGGCTGGGATGAATTTCGTACTGGTGCAGCGTCGTCGGATGTCATTCGCGGGTGCTGGAATGGGCGCTGTCACCCACCGAGAAGTGGCCGACGGGCACGCGGGACCCGAACGCGTGTCCTTGGGACGAGCGGGCTTTCCCCGGTGCTGCTGTAGGGGGGTGTGACGACATTTTGGAGTGGCTTCGGAGACACGGCTGCCCTTGGGGTGTAACGACATGCGCGTCTGCCGCACATCGCGGAGACTTCGACGGTCTCTTATCGGCATTTTTGGAAGTAGCACAACAGCACAGCTACCTGAAGAACTCATCAGGACTGCATGTTTCATGGCGAGCCGTCATCCCCCATCCTTCCACGGCTGCTACACATGCACTGTGTGTAGTACATTGTGATACATTTCAAGGTGCCACATCATCATTCAACAGGGAGCGACGGGGACCCGACCGAATCGAGCTCCAGTGGAGCGTCTCCCAGAACGCCCATGACCTCATCCGTCGTTCTTTTCCCCCGTGCTGTACCAGTGTAATGTTTGAAGCGATACCTGCTCACTTAATGGCACGTTGCAGGTGGACTGCTGTAGGTCCTGGAGGGCCTCCGCATCCAACGGTCCCGAATTTGATAGCAAGTTTGGTGAGGCAGATATAGCCGATGTAGACTACTGTTTATTGAAACGGTCGAATTTGCCAGAGGCGTTATTGTTCCTGTATTTCGGGGTATCAGGTTGAGAAGAGTCCTTTTGGGATGGTCACTTTATCGGAGAGTTCACGTGCAGGAGAAGGCTCGCTGGACAGCGTGGAATAGCAGATTTATACAACAGCAGTACGTGAACTCAGAGAGGGATAGCAAGGATTGGCCAGATTGGGAGGCCAAGAAGTTGCGTTCTTCGTTTTCTCTCTGCGAGCGGGGGCTTGGACGGAGCCCGGGCACGCGCGCGTTTCATCCTTCCAGACGTCATCAACGGGGGCAGAGGCAGGGCGAACTCACCGGTACGGTCATGATGTTTGTTGAGGGAGCGATAGGCGGGGTATGACAAAGCCCTGCTAAGATGATGGCTCACGACTAATGATGACGGGTCACTTGTTGGTGTCCCTGTTGTTCTTGGGCGGTGCCTACACTGCTGTGTACACACACCAAGGTAGAGAAAACACAGTTGTTGCGGTTTGGACGGTGGTGTCACCAGACGCATAACCACAAGGGTACTGGCTCGAATTGCAGCACGCCTGCGTACACGCGCATGGGATGCAATTTGCCGCTGCGAGGTCACGAATGTCCTCCGCAGCCGTCGGTCCGTGACCGAAGCGCAGTGCGCCGCCCACCCACAGGAGTAGCCATGCGCCACAACAATTTGTGCAAAGAAAGAGTCACATACGAAAGGAGACACTGGTTCAAATTGCAGCGCCGGCGCGTCCACGCGCAAGCGATGCAATTTGCCGCTGCGAAGCCGTAAAACGTCCATCGCAGCTGTCGGTCCTTGACCGAAGCGCAGTAGCACATCCATAGGTATCGCCGCTGAACAATATTTTCGCATACGTGTACAGCTATGTACAGCAATGCAGTGTATGCGAAAACATTGCCGCCAAGCACGCGGGCTCGCAACCCGCTTGGCTGTTGACAATAGTCGAAGAGCAGCGGGGCTGATACGGTTACCACCAGAATACGAGCTACTGATTCAAACGTGCACACGAGTGCCGTTTGCCGCTGTGGTGCGCATAATCACCACAGCTGTCGGCCATGGGCTGAGCAGCAGTAGCAGACGTAGGTAGTGCCGCTGAACAAAATTTTTTTTGCTAACAAGAAAATTTTTGCCGCCAAGCACACGAGGGATTGCCACCCCGCTTGGCTGTCGACAGCAGTAGCAGTCGAAGAGCAGCGGGGCTACTACGATTACAACTAGACGTCGGGGAGCTACTGATTTAGTGTCGTTGGCCGCCGTGTTGCGCATAATCGCCACGGCCGTCGGCCATGGGCTGAGCAGCAGTGGCACAGAATACGATGCGTTCCACTGAGAGAAACAAAAAGGGGTTGTTGCATGCATTTGAATTGGTATACAGAGTAGTCTCGACCATTTCAGTCGACCGGTCATAAATCCTGGCCACAGCCACGAATCTCGGAAAAATTGTTTTTCACGTACGTACTGCCCGTGACGGCACCCACCAGACACGGTGATAGACAATGACACGATTGTGAGATCGACGAACACTAAACGGAAAAAATATATATATATACGTAATGAAAGAAAAACAATGAAAAGGTGGAGAAACGACGTGGTGCGGGTCTCGAACCCGCAACCTCTAGTGCTGGACGTGGGCGCTTGAACGTGTGGTCTACAAATTTGTTGATGCCTTGGGAAGGTGAAATACGAGCCTCTATAATGGAGGTAGTTGCTACGATCGTTCCTTGCAATCGTTTTGTCAATTCATTTACTCCTTGGGTCATGGGTCCTGGACGGGGTCGTTGCACCAGCTGCGTTTGGAAACTGCGCTAGGTCATCGTCATGTCATGCACTACCGCGGGAGTGTGCACGCCACATCACACAGCTATGATGCCGAAAGCCAGCACCCCAAGCTGTCTTTGAAAGAGCATTACGCACACCACTCAACCCAGACACGGCCTGCACAGGCAGCCGCATTCTCTAGCTAGGGAGGTCAACCAAAGAGGACCGCGATCCACATACAGGGGGTTTTTTTTTTTTTGGACCAACCTAGCCACGAAGTTTGCCATTGCGATGTACACATCGACGTGATTCCGCAACGGTCGGCGCTCGCCGGGCAGCAGTAGCTACCGCCCAAGATAGGAGTACACTTTCAACTCGTTTGTTGCCTTCGTTTTCGCCTTGGTGTGTCGGGACGCAACAGATGCCACCCGCGACGAGGTCTAGGTCTGGTGGGACGCCGGCGGGGCGGGGTCGGGGGCGCGTTGCTCCTAGATCCACCAGTGTTACGGCACGACGAACGCCGACTCGGGGTCGGACGCGATCGGCGGCGCCGTTACGCAGCAGCGGGGCGAGCGCCGCTGACATGGCCGAAATGCGCGAAGCGCTGGCGGCAATGAAAGCGAGCTTGGACGCTGCGAATGGTCAGGTTCGCCAGTTACAGGCGGAGAAGGAAGATCGCGAGGCGGCGGCGGCGGGGGCGGCGGCGGCTGGTGAGCCGCCATCGACCGGGGGCGGGCAAACACCGGCCGGAGACTCGCTGCCGGCCGAGAGTGCGACGCCGGCCGCATACCTGGACCTGACGCGCTCGGCACCGCCCATGTCCATGGTGCACGTACAGAACGCTCGGGCCAAGGAATCCTTAGCGGCATGGCACAACCTCTCCATAATGAAAGTATGGATGCTGATGGGCGAACGGCCCACGGTCGCAAACCTCAAGCTCATCGACATGCAGTCGTTGATGCAGGATGCGGTGCGGGTGACCGCGGGGGTGCTCGAGCAGCTCAATGCTATGTCGGGTTTTCGCGTACGGATGTACATCGCGGAGAGTGACGATCCGAACCTTACCAGCACCAACCTGGTGGAACACATGGAGACGCTGGTGTACGCCATCATGAAAGTCCTGAAGGTTGGGATCGGGTCGGAGGACGGGCAAACGCGCCTAGAGCTACTTCGTCAGCAGCTTCAGGAAGGCGTTGAGATGGTCCGCGCCCACTGTCGCCAACACCGTTCGAAGATGCACGATGCTGCCACATTTAAAGTGATGGCGGACATGGTCGACGAGGACTTAGGAAACTGGACGTCGACGTGGTTTACCAGGGCTCTGGCGTTTAGAAAGCAATACCCGACACCGCCGCACATCGAGTCCATGCCACCGGTGGTGGGGCCTCAGTGGAACGTCACCGGCAATTTCATCGCTTCTGGAGGACTGCGCAACATCGTCATCCGCAGCCACCATTCGCTCATGTCTCCCACCAAGCGTCCCCGCCCGGGGAATTCTGGCGACCGTCGGTGTTTCATGGAGGATAGACCGGGGGGATGTACACGCCGGAACTGTCCGTGGGACCATGTCAAGAAACCCAACCGCCGCACGAGCACTGGGCGTACAGACGCGGGCGGGGGGCGGGCTCGGGACACGGGCAGGGGCGGGGGAGAGCCGGGTGGAGCTGCTGGCGGCGAAGGACGTCGCGGTGGCCGCGGGGGCGGAAGCGGCGAAAGCGGCGGCCGCGGCGGAGGGGGCCGAGGCAGCGGCGGCGGTGCTACCCGCCGTGGCGGAGCATCTTCTAGCCCATAGGGGTACGGGCTCTGCCATGCGGCGGGGCCAACCTCTACCAGCCAGCAGCGCGCGTCTCCGGCACGGGAGGAGGCGCACGAAGGGACGAGGTTGACGCCCGGCCGGCAGACAGGTGCGGTTGAGAGGTTGCGGGCGTGCGAGGTAGCCTTGCAAGAATTGTCCCACGCCACAGACTCTCAATCCACCCGGGCAGCAATTGATACGGTTGCAGCAAAGAGCATGAGATTTTTGGAAACACATGATGGCCGGTTTGAGTGCATGCTTGAAACTCTGCGAACGCTTCCCATCCCGCGAGTAGACGTAGAGGACGTCCGGCATTGGTTCGGAAAGGTGAAGGCGTTCCCACACATTGATCTGTTGGTGAAAATAATCAGTGAGGGAGCTCCGGTGGCAGTGACCGGGGCCGGGGATTTACGGGCCGCGATCGAGTACGGGAACCACAATTCAGTGCAGGGTTTTTCGCCGGAAATAGTGTCCAAAATTCGGGAGGATGTGCTGACGGGGCGGGCGTTTGTGTTTCCTCGGGAGGCGGCCGCGCAAATCGTGGGCACTCGCGTGTCGCCAATGACGGTGGCAGTTTCCACATCAAAAGTTCGGATATGCCACGATTTATCTAACGCTGTTTCCGGGCGGGGGGTCAATCAAGATACCGATACCTCGGCGATTCCGGAATGTAAGATAGGATATGTCCTTCGAGATGTGTTGTGGCGGATTTTGTATTTGCATGGTACAGCTGTGGCGAAAGCG